ACGCCCGTGACGCCGCGCCACTTCTGCGTGGCAGCCGTGGCACTTGGTGACATCCACCTTGATTTCACGTGGCAGGCGTGGCACAACCTCACATCTACCGTCGTTTTGCGTGGCAGGCGTGGGAAAGATGGCACTGGGTGGCGCGCTTGGACTGGTTTAGGCGCCGCCGTGACGCCCGTGACGCCGCGCCACTTCTGCGTGGCAGGCGTGGCACTTGGTGACATCCACCTTGATTTCACGTGGCAGGCGTGGCACAACCTCACATCTACCGTCGTTTTGCGTGGCAGGCATGGGACAGATGGCACTGGGTGGCGCCCTTGGGCCGGGTTTAGGCGCCGCCGTGACGCCCGTGACGCCGCGCCACTTCTGCGTGGCAGGCGTGGCACTTGGTGACATCCACCTTGATTTCACGTGGCAGGCGTGGCACAACCTCACATCTACCGTCGTTTTGCGTGGCAGGCGTGGGACAGATGGCCCTGGGTGGCGCCCTTGGGCCGGGTTTAGGCGCCGCCGTGACACCCGTGACGCCGCGTTACTTCTGCGTGGCAGGCGTGGCACTTGGTGACATCCACCTTGATTTCGTGGCAGGCGTGGCACAACCTCACATCTACCGTCGTTTTGCATGGCAGGCGTGGGACAGATGGCCCTGGGTGGCGCCCTTGGGCCGGGTTTAGGCGCCGCCGTGACGCCCGTGACGCCGCGTCACTTCTGCGTGGCAGGCGTGGCACTTGGTGACATCCACCTTGATTTCACGTGGCAGGCGTGGCACAACCTCACATCTACCGTCGTTTACCGTCGTTTTGCGTGGCAGGCGTGGGACAGATGGCACTGGGTGGCGCCCTTGGGCCGGGTTTAGGCGCCGCCGTGACGCCCGTGACGCCGCGCCACTTCTGCGTGGCAGGCGTGGCACTTGGTGACATCCACCTTGATTTCACGTGGCAGGCGTGGCACAACCTCACATCTACCGTCGTTTTGCGTGGCAGGCATGGGACAGATGGCACTGGGTGGCGCCCTTGGGCCGGGTTTAGGCGCCGCCGTGACGCCCGTGACGCCGCGCCACTTCTGCGTGGCAGGCGTGGCACTTGGTGACATCCACCTTGATTTCACGTGGCAGGCGTGGCACAACCTCACATCTACCGTCGTTTTGCGTGGCAGGCGTGGGACAGATGGCACTGGGTGGCGCGCTTGGACCGGCTTGGGCGCCTGTGACGCCGCGGCACTTTGCGTGGCAGGCGTGGCACAAACTTACACGTAGTGTCGTTTTGCGTGGCAGGCGCGGCACAAACTCACATCTACTGTCGTTTTGCGTGGTAGGCATGGGACAGATGGCACTGGGTGGCGCGCTTGGACCGGCTTGGGCGCCTGTGACGCCGCGGCACTTTGCGTGGCAGGCGTGGCACAAACTCACATCTACTGTCGGTTTGCGAAGATGCGGTCCTTGCTCGTGGTCGAGAGGCACAACTCAACTGCAAGAATGTGACCAGGGGTCTATGCTTGAACGGGATTAACATATGGCCTGCTCGCAACGAGAAAAAGTCGGCGCACTGCAGTTGCATTTGTCATGCATGCATACATACATACATACATACATGCATACATGCATACATACATACATACATACATACATACATACAACCAACATACATACATACATACATACATACATACATACATACATACATACATACATACATACATACATACATACATACATACATACATACATACATACAACCAACATACATACATACATACATACATACATACATACATACATACATACATACATACCGTTTTACCTTCTCGATCTTTCACCACCTCCTTTGTCTTTCCTTCCTTCTCCGACCCCGCTACAACCTTTGAAACTCATTATTGGAAGAAGTTGACTTGTGGGGTTATCCGGTCCTTTAATTGTTTTTCTACTGTACATATGTCTAGGTTTGCATAGGTAAGCTTTGCGTAATCCATAGGTAGCAAATATGTTGTAAACCATGTGCGAGGCACGCTATAGGCGGTTCGAAAAAAGGTTATGATAGAAATATACAGGTAGACAAGGTCCGTTGACGAGGTCGTGGCTCTGACTCAAGTGCTGCAAATAACGTAGAGATGCGAGGGTGGAGGGGTGGAAAGGGGAGTATATATGTGTATATGTGTATGTATATGTGCAAATAACATGCAAATACTAGGTTTTGGGGGGGTGGGGGGGGTTAGGAGTGGGGGGGGATACCATTGGGGGGGGAGGGGGGGGGGTGTGGGGTCCGGGACCGGGCTCATATATATATATATATATATATACAGGACAAATCGCAATTATTAATTGGCCCACATAAATAACATTCTTATTTACCAGTATATACATGCCGGCAAATATTCCCTGGAGATCCCTGGTGTAAATGTTGTCCACATAGCTACGGAAAACCATAGGGAATCAATATGGGAATCATTTATAAACAGTGGACTTACATGGACTTACCATATTTGATCATATTTTCTATAGATTTTTTCCAGCCAGGGAATCATGTTCAAGCCATGGTCTCGGCAATTTGACACGGATGTTGAGCCCTTTTGAGCCCTCGCGATGCCCCGCGCCTGCTTGTGAAATTTCCCGGTCAACGGTTTTTGGCACTTGTCGCAGCAGAAGCAGTCCGGATGGAAGTAAACGGCTTCCACCTACTGGTTGGTTAACCAGCCCGTTTCTGAAAATATGAAAGCATATGAGTTGGCCAATCCGGATTATAATCCCACTTGTTAACAATTCAATATGGATTCAATATATAGTTTAAGCATCCAGTATCAACAGAAACATCAAGAAAATACAAAAGAACAAAATCACATAAAACTGCCAGCCAGCCACGCACAACCCCCTCCCCACGATCTCTTTGGAGCAGCTTCCACAGCGCTTGCGTTCGCTCATGGCGCGTGGCGTGCTCCGCAAAGCGCCAACGGCTGCGGTTGCGCTTGGCTCAACAAATACGTTGACGGGGTGGACCCGTGGTAAGTCCTAGAACATTGGGGTAATGTGGTAAAGCCAATAATAGTAAACATACATATGAAATAATATTGGAACAGTAATGTTCCAATGAATAGTATATTTCAATATATTTCAATAGTTAATGATAATCAACATAACAATAATACAATCATAGGGATAAGAGTGATAATAAGGCTAATATACTCAAGAATAAACATAAACCACTTCCTTCCGGATGGTGTTTTATGATCATACAATCGCCTCCAAATCATCAAATTCTGTAAATGACCTCATGATATGGCGTTTCTGAGAGAAGAATTGAAAATGAATAATATATATATATATACAGTACCTCAGAATCATCCAAATTCTGGTGGTTGATCTTTGATATTTTGCCAGGTCATCACCGCAAGAGTTGGATGAGTAAAAACAACCCTCTTCATTGCAGGCGATGATTAGGCGATTCATATAGGATTGCTTCCATCCAATCAGCTGTTGTGCTGTTCTTTCCCTTTGGCATCGGCATATCAGCCTAGGCCTCCGCGCCAGCGCCATGCGAGTTGCATGGTGGCATGACGGCAACTGGGGAAGCAGGCCCATCTGTGGCAAATCTGGGGCTGTTGGTCGTTCTTTAGCGGACAATGCCGGACCATCCAACCAATACACCAGTCGAACCTTCAAGTCTGGAGGTTGAACATGATCTTTCTTTGCTGGCTACTTGTTGGTTCACACGTCTTTGGCCTGGCAGAACGTGTGCAAACGGTAGATGTGACATCACAGGCATATTGCATCTCTGGTTTGGTATGGTTATATCTCCATGGCTCTTTAACATGTCAATCTGCCACAACACTTTGCGCGTACCATTATAGAAAGGAAACCAATAGGTTTATAACATGTGCGGAAAAAAACGCATTCATGTAGATCTGAGCATGCTACGAAACGACATCTTCAACCAGAAACTCGAGCCAAAGTCAGTTCCGTTTGAGCCACACTATTTCTTACAGTGCAACCATGCTCCCCTTCACGTCCCTAGACATTTTTAATTGGAGTGCCCTGGATCAAACGAAGCCTGACCATAAATGCCCGCGTGGGCTTCAGAACACTCATGAAACACAAATTAATAACCGGTCTTTTTTTTGAAGAATATGATAGCTCCAGGGGCAAATCATCATCATTTATCACCATTTACATGCCTGACATTAAAAATCATCATTGGATAATATTTTCCGATATCGGTTCGCCTATGTTCCCCATATATATTCCCATATTGGAATATGATTTACCCATAGAAATTCCCCAGTTTCCCTATGCTCATCGCACAATCATCTCCCGAAACACGCACCTCCTCAAGACACTTTGGAGACCTGACCGCCAGGCCACATCCGTTTGGTGGCGACAAAAAAAAGGAAACCGTTGAAGAAACCCATGGGGGAAAAGCATGAAACCCACCATGCTGGACATATCGTTCTATCTTTTTTAGGCTTATATGATGTTATATGAAATATGTAATATGTAACTTACATGTATGTAATTAATATGTCTGTATATATGTCGTATATGCCGGCATAGATTTGTATATCTAGGTATCTATGTGGTAAACCCAATGCCATCAACCTCCAATTTTGGATAATTCAAACCACCTATATTTATGGTAATATTGGGGATGGTATATGGCATTCGGTTGATCACAATAAACATTGACATACATGTTGGTTAATTTACATTTGTATCTATGACTATTGATTCTCCAACATTTTTTTATGGGCACTTGGAAGCTCGCCCAGTTCGGTTTCAGCATCCGTGGGCATCCCAGCTCCCAAAGATCTCGAACGATGCGCAGCGAACTCCACCTGATCCGATCTCAGCTTGGGACACCCGGGGGTCCCAAGGGATCTATCATAGAAAGATCAAGCAAATAACAAACCTGTAGAAACCCATGGTCATGTCAACCCTTGATGAATAATGATGTAATACACTTAATAATGAATGCTTGATATCACACACTTTTGTACTACGATCTACCAAAGCACGGGGGGAGCGCACACTCAAAGTGATCGCCATGGCCATACTCAAGAGGTGAAGCGTTTTGAAAGCCAAAGGCCAGAATCCTACGGATGTATTTTCGAACTACATGGGTACCAACTTTTAGTTGTTTGCATTTTTTCCAGTTCCAAAAGAAATATATAATCCGGAATGTTGAATCGACCCCATTGATTCAACAGGTTGGCCGGGAAAGTGACAAGTTTTACTGCAGATGAGGTTCTTGCTACGGCTATGCACCAATTATCGGACCAGTCCACGTCTTGCCAAGTTGCCACAAACTGCGCGGAATTGCGGTTGTCTTCTCCTTGCAGCTGCATTCCTGGTTCCAAGGGGTTTGGCTTCCAAGGTTTTCTGTAGGAACCAAATGTGCAAACCGTAAATTTGAATGCATTTGCGCATCAAATAGCTCAATAGATAGAAATCAGGCACGTGCAAATGAGCTTGAATGATTGCCACACACGACACATCGTCTATGTACACGCATATGTATATATATACATACATACATACATGCATACATACATACATACATACATACACACATACACATACACATACACATACACATACACATACATATAATATATATATATATACACACACCAGCTCTTAAACCAAGATGCTGTCAGGTAATATCGCGATGATATACATACGCAAATCCATCTGCTTTGTTTCTTACCACCCAAAAAATCTGATGCCTTGACTATCCATTGGGGTCATCAGTTGCTCAACCTGTAGGTATCACACATGGCTTTGCCCCTCCCCCGTATTCAGTGGCCATTGATTAGAACTATGGATTTCCCAAAGCACGTTTGATCACCGGAGGACCATTCGAAAGAAAGTTAAGCAACTGTTTTGTCTTTTTGGGCTCTCCCCAAGAATGTCTTAGTATGTTCTGGCGTACGGTTCTCAACTCATGCAGTCTCCTCTTGACTGTGCGACTCAAAGATCAAGCCAAGCATATGCGCCAGCCTCAAATGCACAAAATCAAGGTGCCTCCTGGCAAAAACTCCTAAAAAAACAAGGTGGTGAGATCTATCTTCCTCTTGCGAGTTCAGTTGGTGCAACTCGCCAACTCCAAAGGGCACTGGTCCAAACATCCCACGACAAAATACGCGAAAATACAACTTATCAAAGTCCTGAACATTTCCCGTTGGATTTCTATAGATTGATGGTCTAATTCATGGTCTAACCTTGTTAAGGCCGTTTAGGTCTCAGAGGACATACCTCTCAAAGTTTTCTGAGGACTGCTGACCCGGCACGCGGCCGCAACTGAGCCATTTCCAAGAGTCCTGGAAGTCGGACGACAATGCGAGGCCCTCGCGGACCCTTGCATGTAAGAATAGAACAGGCCAAACTGTCGACACCAAAAGAGAGTGAACATTGTTGAGATCCACATCCTTGAATACAGTTGCATGTGGCTCTGCATAATTGTTGCCCACATGCATGTGAAACACATATCAACACATAGACACACACAAATAATCAAAGATAGTGGCATTATATACTTTTTTTTTCTCCCGCGCCTTTTTCCATCCGCGCGGTTGGGGTGAAACGTCACCGCAGGGGCAGGCGGCTGGGGCCAGCGGGAGGCGCCAAATCGAGGATGAAGTGGCGGGCCGGTGTTCCCAGCCCAGCAGGCTGTTGCGGATGGATCCACAGGTGGCCCTGCGCGGTGCTGGCCACCGCTTGCTGGAGGGCGACACTGAGTAGCCTCCACCATCGGCGCTGCCAGCCACTGCGGGCCGCGGCGCGCACGGCCGCGGCAGTGCGGCGCGCTCGATGGCGCAACAGCAATCTCAGCAAGTGCTGGCAATCGCTTCGCCAGCGGCCGCCGATTTCGCACGCAAGGACGAGGAGGCGCTGGCCGCCGCCACGGTTTGGCGCGAGCTCCGGGTACCGCCGATGTTTGCGGCGTTTTGCCGCAGTGATGGCTGCTGCGCCGACCCGCGGAGCGGTGGGGATGGGCGCCCCCGTCCGTGTCAAGGGGGAGACGAGGGTTATTTGTACCATAGTGACCATAGCGGGAAGTCAAGAGGGTGGGAAGGATATAGTTGACACACGTACAACCGTTATGAATTGTGTGCCTCTTTTGGCTTGATTCAGTTTCCTCATATTCCGATAAGTCCGATTTGAATGTTCCCTGAGCATCGGATATTGATTACAATCAATAAACTTCCTATTTTTCTAATTGATTTTGATTCAATTGATTTTTTTGATTTAATTGATTTTTTAGTTTTGAATCAATTGATTTTTGTATTGATTTTTTTTTGATTTGGGATATTGATTTTGGGGGTTGAAACTTTTGATCCTTTTTTTTGGTGGCTGCCAGCTGTTTTGGCTCTCAGCTGTTGGAAAAAAGATTTAGAAAAAATAGGTAACTCCTGCCTTGAAAAAGGCTTGTGCCTTGAAAAAGGAGACTGCCTTGAAAAAGGAGAGTGCCTTGAAGAAGGCATGGCTGGCAAAGGGGGTGCCAGACATTTCAGCAAACCTCTGATAGACCAGGGGTTGCTGTACCAAGTCTTTGCTGAACACAAGGACTTGGTATTTAATTTGAAAGGGTATGAATTGTTGTCGAGAAATTCTGCCCACAACCCCTTAGCCATGCATCAAGTTTTGCCCCTCATTGATGCTTTGGTATTCTTGGAAAGTTCAGCTGAAATTCATGCCCAGACAATGAGATCAGCTTTGCTGCATCTCATTACTAGGGAGCCTGAGTTGAATACCAGCGACTACAATGGTAGTGTCTTTGTAAATCTGAGAGCTGACAGGATTTCAGTGGTACTGCACCATGTCAGAAGGCTGGCAAGGGCAAAGACAATGCCCAGCAGTGTCATTGGTAGCCTGACAGCTACTCAATTTAAAGAGCTCAACAAGACCTTGAAAAAGGTGGTGTTGAGAGATGTGCCCCAGGAAGATGCCTTGAAAAAGGATGAGGGCCAGAAAGCTGGAAGCAGTAAAGACACCTTGAAAAAGGTGCCCCAGGGAAATGCCTTGAAAAAGGATGATGGCCAGAAAGCTGGAAGCAAAGAGACCTTGAAAAAAGTAAGCACAGAGAAAAAGAACACATCCTTGAAAAGGGTAAAGAAGGAAAATTTGAAGAAAAAAGAGAGAACCTTGAAAAAGGGCGACAGCCCCTTGAAAAAGGAAGCTGTAGAAAATGCCATAGTGCCAAAGGGAAGGTCATTAAAGGCCAGAGTGAGTGATGTCTCCCTGGACTCTCATGGCTTCCCCAAGGTTTTGGCCAGCCCACAGAAAGGGGCAAGCCCACCAAGGTTGTGGAAGAAAAAGAGGGGCAACTTTCAGCCACAAGCTTCTGCAGAAGTGCATGGTGGTTTGAAAGATGCCATGGGTGTCTTGAAAAAGCCATCTGCCAAACAGGCCTCCTTGAAAAAGGAAAAGTCTAAAAAACCAGCCTTGAAAAAGGTTGCTAAGAATGAAGCCTTGAAAAAGGTTGAAGCCACAGAGAGAAAGCCTTGGGAAAAAAAAATTAAGACCACTGCCAAGAACCCTGAAAGGTCTTATTTGACTGGCAGGTTTTCCAAAGATCAAGACAAATTCTTGATTGTAGAGGTGACAAAGAAGATGAGCCTCCAATATAGGTGGATCATCGACAGGATCAAAGACTCACTGGAGAAGGAGCACATTACCAAGCATGAGGCCATCCAGATGAGAGAAAGTTTGTGTTTTCAGCACCCTTGAAAAAGGCAGCCACAAACACAAAAACCTTGAAAAAGGTATGGATCCTGGCAGCACCCTTGAAAAAGGGTACCTCTGCATGTACATAGCTCCCTTGAAAAAGGGTACCTCTGCATGTACATAGCTCCCTAGGTATGTACATAGTTTTGGATATATGAGGTGTGTTTGTTGAAAAAATGGTCCCACCAAAGGGGAATGTGGTTTAACACCTAAATGGGTTACCCCTGAAAGTTGGAAGTTTTGTCTTTGTTTCTGTTGGTTAGTAACCTGTATGTGCCCTGCAGCTAACTTGGCTCATGCATGACCATGTCACTGCACACACACACACACATGCACACTTACACAGTTCAACAGCACAGCACATGTATGGTAGGACAATAGATGCACACACACAACTGCACAGACACAACTGCACAGCACATGCATGTATGGTAGGACATATAGCCACAACATAGTCACAGCATAGTCACAGCACTACATAGTCACAGCACTACAACCCACAGCTTAGCCTTTTGTAGTTGTAGCTGTGCCCACACAGAGTTTGAAAAAACTCTTTTCAGGTTTGAAAAAACCAAACCACACAGAGTTTGGAAAAACTTCAGGTTTGAAAAAACCAACCCACCTGGGGTGGTCCACTTGAAAAAGTGATGCCCCCCAAGAAGGATTCACTTGAAAAAGTGAACAACAAGGGAAGGCAGGCCATGAGTGGCACTACTTCCCAAGCCAGGAGGCAGGCCAGGGAGGTTCTGCAATGGACTTCCCTGGCCATGGCAGACCCCCCTGCTACCTCCTCAGCTTCTCTGCAGGAGAAGGAAGAAGCCTTGAAAAAGGCATTGGCTTCTGTGGAGAAGCAGAAAGCTGAAGCTCTTGAAAAAGAGCATGAGGAGGAAGCCTTGAAAAAGGTTGAGCATGCCCTGGAGACCCATTCTGCCAGAGGGAGGAATGGGCCCAGGAGCAGGTCTCTGAGCAGGGCCCGCCTCACTCCCAGGGAGGAGGTGGCAAAGAAGGAAGCCCTCAGGGAGAGACTGAATGTCCACCTGGAGAGGCTGAAGGAGGCCAGTGACCCCAGCAAAAGGGCAGCCTCCAGAGGTCCCTTGAAAAAGGGAAAGAACCAGAGCCAGGCATCCAGCTCCTTGAAAAAGGATGCAGAGAAGCCATGTGTGGTGCTGGACTGGCACAATACCCTTGAAAAAGGGAACAAGATGCCAGAAGCCAGCCTGCAGGCTCTGGAGCAGCTGCTGACTGTTGTGGATGTCCACATCATCAGCTGGGTGGGATCTGAGGACAGGTTTGAAAAAACCATGGACCAAATCCCAAAGCTGCTGGGCTCCACCTTGAAAAAGGTGAAGTCCTACAGGTGCACCTATGCCTTCACTGGGCATGACTCCAAAGTGGACTGGGCATGCCACTTTGGAGCCCTGTGCATCATGGATGACAACTCAGAGGTCATCAATGAGGCCAACTCCTGGGGCCTCAAGGCCTACCAAATTGGTAGGGGGGGCTACTGGCAGCTTGCAGATGCAGTAGCTCAGTTCATGGTGGACCTGCCTGGTCTGAAGCCATGGACTGAGGAGGAAGAGCCTTGAAAAAGGCATCCTCCCCCCCCCTTGAAAAAGGGGCCAAGCAAACATGATGCACAAAAGCCTTGAAAAAGGCTCAAAACCCTTGAAAAAGGGTTAATTAATTTGCATGCATGTTTCACCTAGTGTGTTGGCCACCCCCCAATGAAAAAACAAAGTAGTATAAATCAACTAACCAAAGTGTTCTAAATTGTTTAAATGGTTCATTGTTGTTTCTGTTGACATGGGGGGGTGGCCAATTTTTGCACAGCAGAGACCTGCCTGGCCAACATGGCCAGGCAAATATATGGTGAAAAAAATAAACAGTTAAATAAATATGATTATATATATTTTTAATTAATACATTAAATATAATGTAAGTATTTAAATTTATTTATTTAGATTTTTGAAACTATATTTATTTATATTTTTTGAATATATATTTTTAAAAAACTATATAATTATATATAGTTTCAAATATTTTTCTTAAAGTATTTAGTTATATTTTTTGAATATATTAAAGAACAAATATATAAAGAAAATTATTTAATAATTAAGAACTATAATAAGGGTTTAGGGTTTTAGGGTTCAGGGATAAGAATACCTTTTAAAGTAAACATACATGTATATATCTATATTTGTTTTAAAAAAACTATCTTTCAATAAAAAAAATTGAACTCCACAGTTGAAGTTTTTTTTTTTGAAAGGGCCTACCTTCACTGAACTCTCCAGTTCAAATTTCTGTGTTGGAAGGACCCAAATTCACTCAACTCCCCAGTTTTTTTTGAAAGGACCCAACTTCACTTCACTGAACTCCCCAGTTGAAGTTTTTTTTTGGAAGGACTTCACTTCACTGAACTCCCCAGTTCAAAATTTCATTTGGAAGTACTTCACTTCACTGAACTCCCCAGTTGAAGTTTTTTTGGAAGTACTTCACTTCACTGAACTCCCCAGTTGAAGTTTTTTTGGAATGATTTCACTTCACTGAACTCCCCAGTTGAAGTTTTTTTGGAATGATTTCACTTTACTGAACT